TAGTTACTCAGTAGCTAAATTTAAGTTTTAAAAAGTATCTGTTACTGAAGTTTTAAGTTCTAAAATGCACTGGGTAAACAGAAGATATATTATAAGGCAGACTGAAAAGTCATTATTTTGCATTTTAACCTAGTCTTAGTTTGACAATTTCACTGTTTCCATATTAGCAGAAAGCACGGATATTTTAAATTATAAAACAGAAAAAACTGTATCCGAAAACTACTATACCAATGCTATATACCAATGCTACCATGTTTCTTGTGGAATATATTTATTAAAAAAATTAAACATTCCAATGTGAAAAGAAGCTATTATAAACTTAAGAAAGTTTATAAAAACTGTAAGCTAATTAGTCAACTATAAAGCTCATTTCACAAATTCAGAAAGTATCAATTATAGATCAAGCAGATCTAAAGAAGTTAAGTGGCTTGCCCAAGGTCACTGAGTGAGTGTACAAAGTAAGATGGGACTTGAAATTTTCTGACTTAAGTCCAATGCTTTTTCCACTATATTATCTTGCCTTCCAATGGGGACAGAGGCTTCAATCAACCCAAATCTATGTATTTATTGATCTTTTAAGCTATTGTGTATTTTACTATTTCTTTAATCAAGAGAATGAAATGTAGGTTACACAGCTGATTACTAAGATGTTATGGGGGAAAAAGCTAGGATATAAAAAAAGGACCTGAATGGAACAAGTAATTTATATAGAAATTAAATTTCTTACTTCTGTTTTAAAATTGTCATAATGTTATTTGGAAAATACAGATTAATCAAAGTCAGAAGACACCTGACCCTGCAGGGTTCAGTACACTGATACTCAAAACGTCTTGACATGTCTTAAGGATTAAATTAAGCAGGAAAAATAGTTTTAAAATGTATTTTATCACTGAAAATCTGTAAACTATGCACACGTTTGACACACTTCCACTAATCAATGTATCTTGCCCTTATCCTTCAAGGTCCTTGAAGAAAGGGCCATGTCTCAGTTTTCGTTCTACCTCCTAGTTCAGCATAATAGTACCAAGCTGAGTTACTACTCAAAGAAAGGTTTGCCAAGCTGAAATGCTTTACGACTCCTTTGACTTCCAGGCCATGGAGTAAGCTGAAACTGTGTAACAAAAACACTATCATGATGAAAATTTGTTTTAACAATCTGATCAAAATTGTATAATTTTAAATACAGTCAACAGATAATTATAGGGCTGAAAAAAGGTAAGAACACCAACTGCAGAGCTTGGATAAGGATAAAAAAAATCTTTATCACTACTATCTTTCATGAAATCAAATGATAAAAGTGATTTCTTCCACCTCACAAGAAATACTGTGGAGACAAAACTGAAGAGATTAAGTCATCTTCATCTAAGTTCATTTGTAACATTTATATGGTGAAGTAAAGACTCATTAATGCTTTTTGTCTGAAGTTACGGAAAAAATAAATCATGATGGCAGGTAAAATTACCACTCTAGGTACAATTATCTTAAGAAATATAGGCATATTTAACTATCAAGTGGTAGGTGAGACTGGAAGGCAATTTTAAAAATATTTTAAGTATTACCCTCTCTAGGTCTGGTAATAGAAAAAAATGAAAACATCCTATTTTGCAGAATCTACATGAAAAAAATCACCACAAACCACTCATACCTCTAGCATGCTACCATTCCTCGAAACAGTAACTTTTACTTTGTATCTACAATGTACCAGGTATTGTGCTAAGTGCTTCACATGCTGTGTTTAACTGTCACAAACTCATGTTGTAGGGATTACCCACTATAGATAAGGAAACTGACGCACAGGTAGGTTAAGGAATTTGTTCAAGGAATTTACATCCCAATCAGATAAATGACATATATCTTTCCAAACTTATAAGAGATTAAACATAGAAGTTTAAAATTTTTGTAAATATGAAATGCATCTACAGCAATTAGTATTCTAATTGCAGCCCAACGATTTGTAAGTACAGATTATTTTTGTGCACCGAAGAACTGTAGTTTACACAATAAATTCTCTCAATATTGTTAACTTAAATAACATCCAAAAATTTGAAAGCATAGCTAATACCACAATATGACTACCTCTAAATTTTATTTCTCTTTCTGAGAGGCTTGTAAAGCAAGCGTGCCAAGTGACAGACTTAACTCTTAATTTTGGAATGGGTCTGCTTTAAGCTTTAAATCTACTGGGTCTAGTGTAAGCCCAACCTTACCATTATATCTACTGAGGGAAAAAGGAACACTTAAAACTGACACATGCGCCCGCCCTTTCAATTTTCCCTGCCTTTACTAATTTTTTTCACTTGAAAGTCAAAGGGCATAAGTGATGTTTTCAGTAATGAATTCAACAGCTAATATAATTAATTTCTAAAATCTACAAACTTGCATACTTTAGTATTCTTAACATACGAACATTATTTATGCTTCTGGCCACCTGTTCCTGGTTCCTCTATTACCTCTAGGTAATAAAGAAATTCCTCTCCTATGAGTCTAATTTTAAGGATGAAGTTTCTACATCACAATATATGTAAAAACAAAGATAAAACACATGCTACTTCGTAAAAACAAAAATTAAATATTCATCTAATCTTGGTATACGACATACTCTATACTTATAATCAGCAGAGCCACGTTTTTACCCCCAACCATAAGTATCAGATTCCTAAAATGAAAAAGTGATGTGAAAATTTAGAAGAGTGGAAAAAGCCACATAAACATACGTGTACAATTAGCTCTTGAGCTAATTAATGGGAACAAGGGAGCGCATTTTTGAAGGCTAGGATCGTGCTCTGAATTTCCTAATGGGGATGTGATGTAATACTGGAGAGCCGCCGAAGGGAAAGGGATAGGCTGACAAAGGGGGTGCAGATGCCAGAGTGAGGGATAAGCCTGCGGGCAGCAGGAAAGAGGTGGGTCACTAGGGAGCAGGAGAGATGTACCCTACAGAGAGTGACTTCAGGTAGTGGGGAAGTGGCCCCACGGACAGAGGGCACCGGGAGCGGACAGGAGGGGCGCAGAAAGCTCACGGGGAACCGGTGTGACATCTGGCGTGCGGAGCCGGCAGGGGGCAGCGCAGGCAGGGTGTCACGTGGAGTGGGCGCTACGGGAGCCGAGAGGGTTGCGTGCGGACAGAGGGGGGTCTTTCCCACCGCCTGAAAGACTGCGTTACTCACAGAAGTCGCGGACTCTTCTTGCCCTGAACTGGAGACGGGGACTTCGTGGCCTGGGGCTGCTGCCCTGGGACGTCGAGAGGCCTGGCGCTGGGGCTGCTCCTCCGCCGGCGGGGATACTCGGCCTTCCTCCGGCGGGACACAGCGGCAGCGGCGGCGGCGGCGGCGGCGGCGGCGGCCGCAGCGGCCCGGCCTCTGTCCCGACCACCCCTTAGCACGCGGCTGCTAGTGGTCCCTGCAGGCGCCGCCGCCGCCGCCGCCGCCTCAGGAGGCGGTTGTAGGGGCTCCTCCGGAGCCGCCTTGGCCGCCGCCGCCTCTCCCCCTTCCTGGTCCTGCTGCTCCGGGGATCTCGGCTCTTCCGTCTCCCCCGGCATCGGGGCTTGTCCGTCCCCCACCCCCTCGTCCCAGACGACGGAGGCGGAGGTAGCGGCGGCCGCGGCGCTACTCCCCCCGCCCCCCTCGCCTCCCGGAGCGTCCGGCTCACTCTCACCCTGCGCTCCTCTTTCCCCCCTCCCCTCCGCCCGGCTCCGAGAGTGCCCCCCCCGCCCCCTGCCACTCAGGGTCCGCTACCGCGGCGGCGCGCGCGCGCCCGGCCGCCACAGACGCTCAGCGGTCCAATTGGAGAGGTGGAAGGGCTTCCTTGCCCCGCCCTCGCAGTCTCACACGCAGCGACGTGCCCAGTTCCCGCCCCTGCCCCTTGCTTCAACCAATCAGGAAACGGCTCCGAGGGAGCGCGCGAGGTTTTCTTCCCCGCGCTCCCGTTCTCACCGTTAAACGGCTTCGTCTCGCGACAATCCCAAAGTGACCTTTTCCCCCCCTCTGGAGTTCACTGCGCGTTAGGGGCAGTGGGAGGGGCAGGTCTCGCGAGGGAGGTGAGTGGGAAGAAAACGCACCTCTTTCCCCGCCTCACGCGCATCCTTGATTGGGTGCGCGCGCACCTGCCTCCCTAAGGCGCCGCGAATGCCACAAGGGCGCTTTCTATCCTTCTTCTTTAGGCCGCAAAAGTAGTGTGGGCGTTCTTCCGCTTCCACCCCGACCTCGCTTTCCTGTCTCTGGCCTTCCTGTCCCTAGCGCCGCCAGGTCGTGCGGGGAGAAGGGGGGAATATTTTTGCGCTGTCGCTTCTCCTTTAAGAAAAAAAGCCCCGTCGGCTGCCGGATGAAAGTCTCCGAAAAAATGGCGGCGATAGAATGGAGGTGGGGGTCGTGGGCAACGAAGACCCGCCTCCTGGCGCATGCGCGCGGTTAACTAAGCCAAGGGCATCCTGGGAGTTGAAGTCCTATTTATCGTATGCTTGAGAAAAAAAGATAGGAAGCCGGAGGTGGAGAGGCTGCTGGGAGGTTTTGACTGATTCACGACGGGAAAAGTAGTTTACTCTCCGCAGTTCCAGTTTATTTTTTCAGGGAGGCAGTATTTCCGGGTTAGGCCACGACGACTGCCTTATATCCGGGCTCAAATGTTGAGCCAATTCCTGGTCAGGACAGCCTGGGCGGGTTTTTCCTACTTTTTCTTTCTTTATAACTTGGCGTTGGCGTAGTTTTTCCGGGGTGGCCACTTAATAGCCCTTACTTACCTTGGTTAGGTCAAGGGACACCTCTGGGACTGGCTAGCGTTCACGTCTACGGTGAAATTCGTCTCATCATCCAGTGGCTGACCCACTCACCTGTGAGCCCTTGGAGCTCGGGGACTGAATCTGGTTCCGTCGGGTCCTCGGGGCTCTAGCACAATGCCCACTACTCAGTTGGCTCGTAATAAAATTTGTGAAACGAATTGTAAAATTGCTTTCATAGTAGACGTTGTTGGGGCATCAAGGAGCTGGCATTTGCTGCTTAACGTGGCTACGGTCCCTGACCTGGAGGGCGGGGTGAAGGGTTGTTAGCGTGACTCTGGTAACTTACACAGAGAAGCCGAAGGTCTCTGTCTAGCTCCCCGCCCGGAAGCCACCTGCTTCTGCGGTTTATAAATGTTTCTGCTACACAGGAAGCACAGTCGGGATAGCAGCTTTATCAGAAATTACTTTTTTGCCCACTAGCGTGTGTAGCTAAGTTGTCTTCCTGGTGCATGAAAGGGAATTTCCATTTGCTCATCTACAAGTTACAGTCGGTGATGCAGTGGGCCTCTCCCACTCCTTCCTTTCATCCATTATAATAAAGGATCGGTTTGGAAGAGCAGTCCTTTAACCCTGAAAAATAAAGCATCCGGGGTTAAAAGCTCCAGAAGAAAGAAGATGGAAACAAGACCTGGGATCCAATTCTAAATTTCACATTAATCATTTAAACTGTAGACCAGTGCTGAAGTACATTTTTCCTTCCAGTATTTTGACTCAGTTAACACTTTAAGATTAGGCAGAAGTTTTATATTCTCTACTGAGTGTTTCACACTGTCACAGGGCTAATGTCATTTTCAGTTGTAATAATTGTGGCATAGTGTCAATGGGAATTTTTTCAAACTGCACTGAGCAGACTTTTGGAACAGCACTGACATCCAATGGCTGGTCAAAGTAATACAGAGGGGGAAATCTATCCCCCCCCCAAAAAAAGAAGTCTTAGAAACACATGGAATGGAGAATTGGAGAATGAATGATTCTTTTGAAAAAAAGACCACTGTGTTGTAGAAAAAAGATCACAGACTTTGGAATTAAATCTGGATTGTATAATAGTAAGTAGCAAAGCTACTACTGATTAATTATTATCTTGGCAGGTTACGATTCCTTGAACCTATTTCACCACTGGTAAAAATGGAGATAAAATCTATTTCCCAGGGCCATAATTATAGTTCTTTATATAGTACCTTCTCACAGTAGGCCTTTTGTAAAACTTTTATTCAAAGTGAACAAAATCACAGTGCTAAAAAAGGTGAAAAGCTAACCCCCAGTGTCACTTTTCAGAGAAACTGCTATAAGGCAATGTAACCAGCCGGGGATTATACTTAATTAAGATGTCCTCAGTTAAGCGACTGATATCTTAAATCTTCCAGCTTCATTCTTCATGATCCCTATAAATTTACATTTTGGACCACTGAATAAGCTGGGCCCTGAGAATGCAAACATGAATTACTTCTGTCCTACTTTTAAAGCATTTACAATCTATTCAGGAAATTACCTGCAGGTAAGTATAAATTCTGAATAATTAAGTAAATAAAAGCAAAATGAACTGCATCCTGGTTAACTCTGATGAAAATTTTAAGAAGGAGACTGTGCCTCTATGGTTCCCCAGCTTCACAGAAAAAAAGAAAAAAAAAAGCAGATGCTCAGTTACAGTACGACACCTACACTTGGGAAAAAAACAAGTGTAAATGTGCCATTCCCATGAATTCAAGATAAATCTTGGCACATAGTAGGTGCTCAAATTTTGTAAAATTAATTTTGAATCTTTATTACCCTGGCCAATGCACTACCAGAACTCAAATCTTACTACTTGCCTTTCTATGTCAATCCCATTTTTAAAACTGACCTACCGCAAAAAAAAAAAAAAGAAGAAGAAGAAATTCACCAAATCAAAAGAGAGGAAGTGCTAAGCAAATACAGGAACCAAAAAAGGGTTATAGAGGCTGCTTTACACTGTCTCATTCAGTTCCTTTGCGGTCCTCCTCTTCAGCACATGCCAAAGGAGTTCCTCACAACCTGTGAGACAAGGGCATCTTGGATGCGGGACAATGGAAGAGTTGGGTGAGTAAGGAGCTTCTTGGCAGAGAAACTCTGAGGGAATGAAGACTTGGCTGCCCTCTCCATGTGTGATAGGGTATACTTCTAACCAGACTGAGAGTAGTAGTGGAAGATTTTATTTTTACTTCTGTTCTCAGCCCAACCAAGGGGGAAGCTTGAGGAACTATGATTGTTTTGAGGAACTGTTGGTTCACTGTTTGCAGTGGCAAAATAGGCAAGAGTTTGGTGCTAACCACAGAGTAAACTCTTAACAAATGCTTTTGAACTGAATTGTGATTGAAATTGTCATTTCATTATGGCCATTTTTCTTCTCGGGATCTCCAGTAGCCAGGCACACACAGCTAGGCAATGACAGAGATTTGATTTGGAGAGAAAAAGAAAGAAGGGCGGGCAGTGTTCAGAGGAAAATGGAATAGAAGTACAGAATGAGGAATCTGCAGAGGTTGGAGAAAGGCCAGGGTGGTTTCATTTGTTCCATGTTTTAGTATTAAATCAAGAAGTCAGCACTCTAACTCCAGTGATTTTGTTGCTAAGCTTTTTATTCAGAGGAATTCTGAAGGAACAGATTACTATGGCCTGAAAATATGATGCCTCCTTCCACTCTACAACGATTAAAACCAGCAGTGGAACTATTAGCCACATTACCCAGAGAGGTCCCGCATTTCAAACCTTTGGAACAATGTAAGGTTTGTCATTCTTAGGATTCATTCCATAGCCTTTGCCAACTTTTGTTGCCAGCATCCTAATTAACATTGAGCTACTAACCTTTACCCAAATTCCAAGCTGTATTAATTCCACAGTGTCTTGGATTTGTGCGTGTTTGGGTTAGGGGGTGTCAAAAGTGCAAACGACAACTACAACAATATATTGCACATTGTCTTTTTTAAAAAATTGTTTGGGGTATAATTTTAAAGCTGGAGAAATATAGGAAGGAAAAGGGCAAATAACAGGAGGGAAGAGATGTTAATGAAGAGAACATGGTGGTGTTTAATAAATATTGAACTGTATTGGAGGTAAAGTCTATTTTGATACTAGGATAGACTCTACTTAGGACTTGGGGTAGGATCTAAATTCTACTCATCTATATGTTGGGGGAATCTGAAGTTCTGCTAGGGTTCTTTTTTTTTTTTTTGACACCTAATGGTTTCCATGCAGTTAATTCAAAAGGGAACTAATACTTATTCAGTGACTCAGGCTAAAACTAGACATTTTTACATCTGTATGTTAGTGCCTGCAGCAACACTCTAAAATAGGTATTATTCACTTTTTTTTCACATGAAAAAACTAAGAAAAACAAAATAACTTGTTCAATATTACTCTCAGGAGAAACGCACATCAAAATTAATTAAGCTACAGGTGTTTTTCTATTTTAGAAGTGTATTGGTTCAGATGTTCCAGCCAATGGAATAACCCAGATAAGAAAAAAGTGTATAGTTTTGCATTTCCCAAGCAGGATGGCTGGTAGAGAAATCTTGTCCAGAAATGTAGAAAGTTCCAAGCAGCCTGGACACTAACATTTGCGTAGATTATCCAATTGGCTATGTCTCAACAGGCTGTTGATGGCTACACTTCAGCAGTTTCTCCAAATTGTCATCAGTCCAATAACTTGCCCTGGAAACTTGGGGTGGATCTTTTTTCGCCACATGCAGAGAAATAGCATTGAAGACAGATTAGCTCAGGTGAGCAAATATTTCCTCTCTGCAGTACTGCTTCGGAGAATAGCAGCTTGTATCCACCCAGAAGTTTTACCTACACCCTCGTTATATGCAGATGATAGGTAAAGAAGAACCAGGAGCAAGCTCTGGCTCAGAACAAGATCCTTACAACCCAAAAGACCTCACTTTACTCCTTTCATGTTAATGTTGATATTATTGCATTTCCACAGGTAAAGGACTACGAGAAGAACTGCGGAGTTTTCAGTCTAGTACCCCCCCTCCCCAGTAATCCATATTTGTCATACTGAAATTAGTCATCTTCAGATTACAGAATCTGGCAAAGGGCATAACGTCAGAGTGTTGGTGATACGCACACTCACAGGAAACAGGAAGAGAAAGGCCTGTTGACTCATGACCCAGAAAGGAGAGTTTTATTAACTTTGCTTAGCTGGTGCTTCTGAGGGTAACTCGCTGCTCTTAGTAGTCTGGTCTCCTCCCTCCCCTATTCTGTGTTATAAAATGGCTTTTTATTTTGAATTCAGTAAGATCTTGAACTGTGGGTTGAAAAAAAGCTTAGAAAATAGAAAAGAAAGGGCCTCTATCTTAATTGAGAGGTACAGAATAAAAATTTGGAATTCTGAGATTTGACTAATGAAATTCTCAGACAAAAAGTTTTACTTCCTCCTTCTACCTTAGTTTTCTTTCCTTTACTTTGTTCGTCTTTGTAAAAAATCTTTTATTGGAGAAAATTTTACAATATGCAAAAGTATCAGAAATAGTTTAATGATATCTGATAGACTGTCAACTAGCTTAAACAATCATCACCTCTTGACCAATCTTGTTTCATATATATGTCCACCCATTCCTTCTACCTCATATTATTTTAAACCAATTTCTGCAAAATGAGGGTGATAATATCTGCCTCAAAACATTAGGATGATTACATGAAATGTGTAAACTGAGCAGAAAGATACTAGTATAATACTTGTAAACTCCATTGGTTTTCCCAAGAAAACTACAAGAGAAATAAACTATTCGAATTGCAACATCTTACTTGATTTTGTAATATTTAAGTTTCCTCCCCAACCCCCCTTTCTTTCTACAACATAAAGACAGAATACTTACACTTTGTTTTGAGAATTTTATTATGTTCTTGGGATAATTCTTGAGTTTTAAGATTAAAAAAAAACATTAGGATTAAAAATAAGTGTTATTGTCCTGGTACATTTTGAAAAATGGTAATATATTCTCTCAGAATACATCAGTGGTAAAGAAAAAAATGGCAATATAATTACTTATATTTTTCTGATAAGAAAATATTTAGAATTTATTTTTTTCTAATTGGGGATCTTTGTGGACAATCCTCCCTAAATGAGTGATAAAAGCTGCAATTTAAGAAGTCAAATTAGAAAATGAGACTATGAAATTGAAAGCAACCATAGAAAATAAGAAACAAGCCACAATTTGTGGAGGCATTAAACGTCTCCTGATAGGATACATCATATTCTTGAACTGAAAAACAGAGTAAGGGAAGATGTTTGAAAATAGCCTTAACCCAAGAGAGGAAGAGATGAATGGGGGCGCAGTGGGGATATTTAAGGAGAAAATAATTCCAGAGACTTAAATATTCTATATTACTATTTTCTTGTTTCTTATGATGTAGATGCCTTATTGGAGGAACTGGAACGCTCCAGCCTCCAGGACAGTGATGAATATTCCAGCCCAGCTCCTCTTCCCTTGGATCAGCTTTGCAGAAAGGAGAATAACCTTAAAGAGTCTTCAAATATTCTTTCTGTTCAGGATAATAAAAGTCCTTTGCCGGTAACTTTT